CGCGCTGCACGTCCGGCCGCCGGCCTGGCCCTTCGCCCCCCCAGCCTCGCGGCGCACCCGCAAGCGACCAACGCCGCGATGCGGTGAAGCATGTCGCGTCGCACGGTCGCCGGCTCCGCGCCCCTCCTCCGAGCCGCCGCCGCCGCCGCGGCACAGGTGGCAGCATCCGCTCCTTCGCTCATTCCCATCTGCTGCTCCAGAGCGACCGGTCTGAAGGCCAAGCCGCGCGCTCGGCGCCTCTCTTCGGTCTGGCTCCGCTGGCGCTTGTCCGCGTCGTGCGTCTCGGACGCGACCTCTGGCGCCATCGCCGCCGTCTGCCCGGCGGGCGGGGCCGAGCGCGCCAACGACGGCGAAGTCGAAGCGCGCCCGCTCTGCCCGCGCCGCTCGGCTGCCGTCTGGGAGGAAAGCGGCGAGGGCAAGATATGTGGGATGGCCAGCGCACCTGCTGGCCGGCTGGCGTCTGGCTCTGCGTTTGGGTCAGAGCCGCCAGCGAGCGAGCGCGCCGCCTCCGACTGCGAGCGCAGTCCGCTTTTGGACGCGCAACCGTAGAAAGCGTCGCGAGCGGCGTCGCGCGTCTTCGCGGCGTCGCCGCCGCCCGCGCATGACAGGCAGTGGGTTCCTGGGTGCCGAGCGGAGCGATGCGTGGCGGGCAGGTGGATCCCTCGCCCGAGACATCGGCGCCGAGCCGGATCGCGACGTCGTCGGCAAACTGGCTCGCAGCGAGCCGCATGTCAAGTGTCTCGGGCGGGGTGAGTTCGTCGAGCGCCCACGCTCCCTGCGCTGAGTGCGCTGTCAGACGAACGCCTTCGGCCGGCGACCCTGCGTCGCGCCGCGCAGCCGCCGCCATGCTCCGGAGCGCCCCTTCAAGGCGCGTCTGCGCCGGTAGGCCCCGCCTGGAGGGTCTCGGCGCCAACTGCGGCGGCGATCCAGGATGCCACTTCTGCCAACGGCGCGCCTGCCGCAATGTCGCCCCGCTGGTGGCCGGCCCTGATCTGCGCGCAGAGGCCGCGCGCGAGCGCGCGGGGCCCAGCGCGTAGGCAGTGCCCATCTCCACGGCAATCTTCCGCAAGCCTTGGCCGCCTGACGACGACGCGAAGGAAGCCTGTTGTCGCTGCCCGTCGGTCCAGCGGCGCCCGACGGCCGCCGCAGCTGCCTAGAGCACTTGGTCGTCGCAGGTGCGCGCGGCTTCCCCCGGGCGCGTGGCAGACGCGGTGCGCGCGAGGTGATTCATCCTGCCTGCGTTGACGGAATGGGCAGGCAAGTGGCGGGTCACCTGCTGGTCCTCGAGCTCTGCCAAGAAGTCGACGATCCCGTTGTGTTTCTCCGCCAACTTCGCGCAGAAAGCCTCGCACAAGGCGTCGTCGCCGACCGGGGACTTGAGCGCCTCGCAGCTGCCCGCGCCCAGGACGCTGCCGCCCATGGCGACGAGCGGGGCGAAGTCCACAGCGCAGCTCTGACCGGCCGCGGGGGCCGCCTGCAGAGTCGAGGAGCGCAGCCCCGTCGCCGGCATGACGGTCTTCTGGCGGGCGACACCTCAGAGCACCCCAAGAGACGGTCCTGCAGGCAAGCCGACTTCCGCGAGACCCGCCGCCATGCCCAGGGCGACGGGGGGGTCCAGCACTGTCATCCGCGCCGCAGTGCCCTCAGGCACGGGCGCGAAGCCTAGTGGCTCTCATGGCGTCCTCGGGACCGGCGCGTGGCATGCCCCGATCAGTGGGTTAACCGTGCTGTCCTCCTGCTGCGCTCTGGATGGTCCTCCCTCTCTAGAAGACCTACGCGTCTGCGGGGTGGGCGCACTCGAACCGCCGCGCCAGGCCAGGGGCGCCTTCCCGCAACCAGGTTGGGAAAGTGCCCCGGTCGACCTCGTCGCGGGCGTTGTCCTGGTCGCTGCGCTGCGGGACGCGGCCCAAGTCCCAAGTGGGTTGCCGCACCGCTGCCTGGCCAAACGCGGCATGGCCTCGAAGCCTCCGCGAAGGATCGCAGCGAACTGCAATGGAAGCAAGTGCCCTCGGAGGGTGTCCAACACTGTGGCCATGAGCGCCTTCCCGACGCATCTGCGGATGGTTCCCCAGAGCAGACGGGCCCGGCGCCCTCGCCGCCTTTGAGCCGTGCCCGTCCCACTTCTTCGGCACGCGGCCGTCGGCGAGCAATTTGCAGCAGCCCGCGAGGGTGGCGCAACCCACTTTGTCGCCCTTCTCCCGGAATTATTCGGCGGGGTCTCCTCGTTTTTACGAGAGCCACCTAGGGCTCTCTTGGGCTGTCGCGGGGCGCTCTTGGATTGTCTGGGGTCCCTCGAGGCGTCTTGGGGGCCTCTTGGGGCCGTCTAGGAGCCCTCTTGGCGTCGTCTGGACGCGGTCGTAGAACCCCTTTGGGCCGTCTTGGAGCGATCTTGGGGCCCACGTGGGCCGCTTCTTGATAATGTATAATATCAAATGGATCAAATGGTAAGGCTGAAAGCTTTACGCAAACACGCAGGACATACATTTGCCCGGTTCCTCGGGAACCTCTCGGGAGAACTCTTGGGCAACTTCTGGAAGGTCTTGGCAACTTCAATGGCCGTCGTTAAATGTTGTCTTCTAAGGATCTCAGGACGCTTTCTGGGCATATAGGGCCGTCAGCGAAAGATTTTTGGCCGCCTGGCGAAGGGATCCTGCGATCGGGATTCCAATCCAGGGCCATGGTCCCCCTGTCGTGGTCCCAGCCTGGGGGGCCCCAGTAGGTAACAACGTCTCAATAATCAGTCGATGAGGTGCGACATCGAACGCATTAGGCGGGTCGAGAAAAAAACCTGAAACGCAAACACATTGTCATTTTTTGGGAGGCCGACTTTCGGGAGTTGGCCCTCACACCCCTCCCGCTCCCAAGGCCGAAAAGGCCCCAGAGGCTCCATAATGACGCGACAAGCCAGGGTACCTTGGGCCAGGAAAGCATTCCCACCCCCACTAGGGTAACCTTGGCCCCACTGGCCGGCCTACCCCCCCTAGTTGGGGATGTACGCCGTCTCCTGCGGGTTTCGCAGCACCCATCCCCGCCCATAGGGGGTGCGCTGGAGAAGAATCTTGCTACTTCCCAACAGTGTTGGGGTGGTTCTGGCGATTACAAGTGTGGGTAAAGACGCTTCCCTGCTGTAGTGAATATCCCTGAATTGCATACCGTGGCCATGTTGAATCTATGGGGAACCTTCACTGGCCCCCTCGCCCAGCCATCCGCGCGATATCCGAGGCAATCCGAAGCCATCCCATGGCCACCCAAGGCTATCCGAGGCAATTCCGAGGCCACTCCGAAATCATTCCGGGGCTACTCGAAGCTATTCTGAGGCCACCCGAAGCCACACTGGGCGCGCGCCTGCGGGCAGGACAGCGAGCTGGGCTTGCGCCGAAATGGACACCGAGAAAAGAAAAGGGATCATCACGTGGAGGAGCACGGCGCGGCGGAGGACGACGAGGACAAAGAGGAAACCGGAGGACGGAGGAGGAGGAGGAGGAGGAGGCGGAGGAGGAGGAGCATGATACAGAGGAGGAGGATCGTCGCCTCGAGAAGGAGAAGCAACAGGAGCAGCAGCAGGAGGCAAGGAATGGAGGAACGAGGTGGCAAGGGAGGGGGAGTCGAGACGTGGGGGATCGCGGTGGGGAGCGGCCAACACTTACCCAATATGAGTACGACTCTCCTCGTTCCCCCGAAGATGGCCCTGGAGTGGCCCGCCCCAGTCCGCGCACTGATCTTCACATAACGGATTTCTAACTTTTGTCTGTCCTATGCGTCTTTCAATTGGGACGTTTTCGGGGCCGCAAAGTGATGCTACCGCTGTAGCTCTGGCCTCAGTTTGGGATCGGCGCTTTGCTCCCGTCGTTCAGAATAGCGCTCTCGCCCCAATGGGGGCCACTATGTTCTGGATCTGGATGTCTCCTCATCGCTGTTGCCTCCCTCCTTTCCCCTCCCACGCCCTTCCCAGGTCATCCTATTCCTCCAGCTCTTTCTGCTCCAGCTCCTGCTGCTGCTGCCGTTCGCACTCGCCCTCCTCCTGCCTGATTATCCTTTCTTTCTTCTTGCTCACCCCCCTGCTTTTCCAGCACCTCCTCCTCCAACGTACATACGCAGCTCCCCCTTTCAAACTGCGCATAACACGATGGGGCCTTTTCTGGAATACCAGGTGCGATATGACACGCACCAGGTAATGAAGAACCAACGCAAGTGGAAGAGATAGGTGAGCGGGGTCGGATGTCAAGTATTGATAGGACGCGAGCGCACCTAGCTTGTCCTCCCCCTCCCTCTCCTTCTTTCTGGTGCATGTCCGTGCTTCGGTGCTCTGAGCACCGTTCCCAGCACTCCTCCTCTGCCCAATTCAAGAAACATACGAGAATTCAGAACCTCCGACGGATGTTTTTTTATTCAAAAAATGTTGATCCAACCCTCCAAGAATCCAAACCCCCGCGGCGGATCGAGTTTCAACAGTCCCACAGCGGCACACAAAGGTCGAAATTGAAGGGCAACGCCAACATTGAAACATCCTTCCACTAGAAGTCTGGGTCATCTCGAGGTCTCTGGAATCTCAAGAAAGGCTCCCCCAGAAGCCCTTGCAAGCTTCTGGAGGCTTAACGGAGCACAGATAAAGATACACACCGCCAACGAATGACATCAAAAAGCACAATCGATCATCGATGTACGATGAAATTCCCAGCTGACGGCGGAATTGAAGAAGAACGCCAAGACTGAGTGGGACCTTGAAGGACCCTGAAAAGTCCCAAGAGGTCCTGCTGGCCTTCAGAGGCCAACAGCAAGTTGCCACAGAAGTCAAACAACTGGCAAAAGCATCGACCCTCCTCGATCCTTCACCTTCTCGGCCTGGCCATCCTCCTCCTCGATCCTCGGTCCTCCTTCTCCTCATGAATCCTCCTCCTCCTCCTCCTCCTCCGTCCTCCTCCCCCGCCTCCTCCTCCAACACCGAGACGAGGAACGAGACCCTGGAGGGGCGGCAGGGTCAATTCGGCTGCAGCACATGCCTAGAGGCCTCCTCCATCAAAGCCGCCCTGAGCTCTGGGTGCACCTGCCGCTGATGCTGCTGCCGCTGCCGCTCTTGCTGCGCCGCTCCGATGACACTGCAGCGATGCGTTTCGTCGCCGCTGCCGCCGTCGGTGACGTCGTCGTCGGAGATGTCGACGTCGTCTTTGTAAGCTTCGTCGTCGCTCCTGCTGCGCCAGCCCGGTGGCACTGCATCGATGCATCCTCCATCGTCCTCGTCGTCGCCGCGCCGTCGTCGCCGTTGGTGATGTTGTCGTCGTCGCCTTTGTGAGCGCCGTCGTCTATGTCTTCGCCGTTCTCCCTCCCGTCCTTTGTAGCATGCCACTTGCAACAAGCAAGTAGTGAGGAACAAGTGAGGCCATGCCTTCTCCTCGTCGTCGTTGTCATCCTCCTCTTCGTGATCGTCGTCGTCCTCCTCCTCTTCCTTTCCTGGGCTGTCGGGGGCCCCCTCGTCGCCGCGGGTGCACGCGACCCGGGAAACTGGCCATGATGGACCCAGCAGGTTGAAGCATCGCTTCCATCGGAACTCTGATGTTCCTCGTCCTGCTGCTACTGCTGCTGCTCCTCTTAATCCACCTTCGTCTCGCTTCCTCCTGCTCCTGCTGCTGTTGCCCCACTCAGCCGCCTCCAAAACACCGAAGGCGTGACAAACAAAGAGCAGCGCATGACACGAATGGATATTCAGTCGAGGTCTGGACACGACGTAGCTGGAGTAAGGAACGAAACTCCTTCGCCCTAGCTGAGCCGCTTTCTTCGAGGACCCGTCGTCGTCGTCGTTGTCTTCGTTGTTGTCGTCGTCGTCGTCGTCGTCGTCGTCGTCGTCACCGTTGTCGACGTCGTCGTAGTCGTCGTCGATCGCCGACGCTGGCGCATTCGTATCAAGTCTCAGCTGCCGCCGCCGTCGACGTCATAGTCAGTCGTAGCAGCCCAGCGACGGCGACGACGGCGATAGAGACGAACACGACGACGACAACCATGACGATGACAAAGAGACAGCGACGACGAGACGGCGACTGCGACTGCGACGACGACGACGACGGTGACGACGAGGAAAGACCACGACAACGACGAGACGGCAGCCGACGGCGGCGGCCGGCGAGGCGACGGCGAGCGAGGCGGCGGCGAGCGAGGCAATGCTTGCGGCGCCTGCCCGTCCTCCTCCGCGGCCGGCCGCGAGCCGGGCGCGGCCGCCACGCGCTCGGCACGGCGCCCTGGCGGCGATGGGGCGCGGTCGACCGCCACCGCAGGCCGCCGAAGACCCCCAACAATTTTCCGAAGGGCCTGCATGCGTCGCCGGCCGCCGCCGACGGCCGACAAAGGCCGCCGAGGGCCGCCGATGGCCGCCGTCGCCGTCGTCGTCGTCGTCGCCGCCGTCGGCGTCGCCGTCGCCGTATCCGTCGACGTCGTCGTCGCCGTCGTCTTCGTCGGCGCCATCGTCGTCGTCGTCGCCGTCGTCGCTGTCGTCGTCGTCGTCGTTCGTTCTCGCCTGGCGTTGTCGCCGTCGTATCATTAGAGTCGTCGTCGGTCGTTTTTGATTGGAGTCGTCGCCGTCGTCGATCTTGTTATCGCCGTCGCTCGTCGCTACCCTCGTCCTTCTCGTCCCTCCAGGAGGAGGACGTTCTATGTTTGTGCTGGTGGACCTCAGGGCTGAAATACACACCATCCTCCGCCAACGGCTTTGCAGGCTTCCTGCGGAGGAGGCGGACTTCTTCAATGCGCTTTGGGAGCTAGAGGTGCACACCGCCTTACCCCACGCAGTCCAGCAGCTAGGACAAACTCCGACACTACAGTCATCGTGCTACCAAAGGGAACGCTAAATAGAGAACGAAGGAGCATTCCTTCCCACGGCGAGCCTCGGCTCAAAAAAGTTCCTCGACCTAGATCTAGAGAACGCCCCGGAATCCAGACCGATGTTAGCGTCTTGGTTGTGAAGATCACCTCGTCCCCTCACCCCCTCCCCCCTCCCTCCTCGTCGTCGTCCTCCTCCTCCTCCTCCACCCATCGGGTGCTTGGCATGCCGAGGGGCCGCGAACTACAAGAGGCCGATGCTGCCGATGCTTTTGCGGAAGCCAGGCGCCATCACGGCCACATAATGCTTTAACGACATCGTAGCGGATATCACACGGGACCTTCAAGCAGCCATGCTCACCCTTGACGGGCTGACATGGCAGCACGCTTTTGCTTTGTATTCGGCTTTCGCTTTAGAGTCAGATCTGGCGCAGGTATATGGCACCACTACATTTGTAGCTTGCATGCGTAAGAAAACAATACAGGTGGTCACTGGGCAAGCGGCCACCGCCGTTTTTCAGACATGCACTTGCCTCAATATGGCCAAGACGGCCGTGTTAGCTCGCCCTTCGGGAGAACGTGCCAAGACTGTCCAGGCCGATCTGGGCTAAAAAGACGGCAGACACGTAGACACGTTTCTGTTCTGTCACTGGAAGACGAGAGCGTCGCGCGAAAGATTGTGCTATGTCTCGGGGCCCTCATGAATGACACGGGGGATCTCAATGATGAATTACACCTGGAACCCCTACGCCTAAAGGGAAGGTCCGAGCGTCCAGAAAACACCCTGCCCCCGCAAGCTCGCCCCCAGCACTGTCCACATTCGGTGTGTCGAGACTTTCGCGAGTTACGCCCCCCACGGGGCTCTTTTCCAATGCAGCCATTTGGCCTTTGCCTTCGGCCCAGCCAATGCTCATCAAGGCGGCACTTGAGTTGCATGGGGAACGCGCGCAGATTTCTTACAACGAGGACCTCACGAGGGCCCACCGTACTGGCTGGATTGTTTGAGGGTGCAACGCACGGGCTAGGTTCTCCAGCTCCAACAGGACTTGTGCTGGCGAGCCTCCTTCTTACTAAAGCGGGAGGTTCCCCACAGGGCTGGCCTACTGCAGTAGTCCGAGCATGCGCACGGGGCGCCTCGCTCATTCCCTCGGCTGGCCAAGACAGGGGCCTTGCCATCGAGTGAACACTTTTGAGGCCAACATCGCCTGCAGAAGCTGCAACAGCAAATGCATGAAGTGGCGACGGGCGACGGGTACGGTCTTTGGGTTTTCGCATGATGTGCCACCGAGGGGCTGTAACCAAGCTTTTGTTACTAAGATTGCGACTTCGACTGTGCAGACAGGAAAATCTACAACAACGTCTCGGCAGCACAACGCCTCTCGCCCCTCAGTGCGTACCCAGTGTGCTGGGCGCCCAGCACCACCTCTTGGAGTTGCAGGAAGAAGTGGGCACCCCCAGCCGCCCCCAGGCAGGGCCCCTGCCTGCCAGGAGGGGATGAAACGCATTGCGACTAAACGTCCAGCTCGAGAGCCGCATGCAGTAATGTGTCTTGGAAAGCTGTATGGTTTGTGTGTCAGGCGGTGCGACGACAATGCTACATTTTCTCCGACAGGTATTGGCACCCCCGCGTACGCCTGGAGCTCGGCCGATTAAGACGACGTCTGCTGCAGCTGTGGCTCCGTTCAGCAAGAAACGTGGGGGGGAAACCAGGCAACAGCTGGAGCCATCGAGGCTACGGACATGCGGAGGGGAGAGGGAGGAAGGCATGGAGACGCGACAGAGAGGGGGAGGGGGGCGAAACACGACAAGCATGAACCTCCTCATGCACTCATCGCCCCGCCGAGGTGGCAAGCCGCACCTGAAGATGCCGACACAAGCGACACGTCGGGAAGGAACACAGCCACGCCCCAACAGACGTCGACAATCTGCGTGATCAGCGACCCGATGAAAGCCATTGTTCGGAGGGCGGCTTGCAAGGCCATCTCTCTTGCGCACGGGGTTTCTCTTGGAGCGACCGAATTTAGACATGGCGGAAATGGCCCGGCAAGCCTGAACAGTGAGCGAACTGTCCCGTGTTTCGTGCCATCGGCCCCTCCCCGTGCCCAAACCTTGTCGACCCTCAACCATCGAGGGTCACTCTGGAGGTCGAGACGCTCCGCACTCTCCCACTGCTGCGCCTTCCGCTCCGTGGGCACCTCCCACAGATGGGGCACGTTTGCAGAGAGTCACGCTGGACATGGGTATCTCCTCGTGGGCTTGTGGGGACCTGACAGGGGACTTTTGGTCGGATCTCTGTCATGAGATTGCCCTTAATTTTTGGTGCGACGCCATCAGCAGTTGGGTTTTCGCATGCGCGCTTGCCGACCCAGGTGTGGCCTCGTAAGCTGCTGACAAAGAAGGCACAGCAGGCCATTACCGTCCCAGGACTGGCCGTGGGGCTCGAAAACTCTCACAGACAGGGAGGGGCATCCAGCCCAACACGAGAATGACTTGCTCCATGCGGCCGTAGCGGTGGGAGTCCACTGTCGGGCTGCCGGGGTGCCACTTTGGATCGAAGCGCTGACCAGAGTTGCGGCGCAAATGGGCACCGAGACACAAGTCATAGACTGTCACACGGTCGCGCTCACCTGCGGGATCCTGCTCGCTTGCGCCGCCACTGTCCTTTTCTCCGCTCGCCCCTCGACTTGTTCGCCTCGACTCTCGACCTACTCACAGGACAGGAAGAGGTCACGTGACGCTGGTGCCAGGGGGGAATTCAGCGACCCATCGGAACAGCAACCAGCGGCTCCATCGTCGGCCGTGCGGGCTCTTGCCGCGGCCATTGCTGGGGCCGCTCCACACACGTACATTAGGGAGTGGACTGAACGCCCTACGGGGACCGTGGGGGTGGACTCGGATGTGGGCCTGGCGCCTGAGGGCACTCGCAGGGGGGACGGGCGGACGCTCTTCGAGAATAGTCTGCTTGCACGCTTGTTTTAAATTTAGTAGCCTTGGAACGGGTTGCACTCCTGGAGCTCCAAGACCCGCGAGGCGATACAACGAGGAGAAGGAGGAGGAGGAGGAGAAGGAGGAGGAGGAGGCCCCCTTACGAGAGAGTTCCCCTCCTCGTCGCCCTCCCCCTCGCAGGAAGAACTGTGCACTGGCGTGCGAGCAAGCCTCGTGCTGCGGTGCGGTGACGCAGCCGCGCTGCCGTTCTTAGCTGTGTGAGGCTCAGAGTACACTTCGAAGCGCTGCGTAAGGAGGAGGGTGAGGTGAAGGGGAAGGCAGGCAAAGATGACCCGTACGCGTTCTACGCCCCAAACGTTTCTGCAATGGTCGCCGCGCGCAGCATGCTGCTCAGCAACTCGCCGCTGGGTAGGACGACGTCTGCCCCTGCAGGCCTCGAGTTGGGCGTGCCCGCGGAGATGGCGTCCAGCGCCTGATTGCAAATGGCTCCGAGGTTATCTGGGGCCCAGGAGCCTGTCCACTGTCCTACAGCAGCTTCGTGTCGTGACGACGTCGGCGTTGGTCTCTACCACGGCGTGGATCGTTCAGTCTGGAAGGATCGCGGCTCTCCGATCCAGCAGATCGATCGATGTCGGCCGACTCCGGACAACTTGCGGCGTGCAACCTTGAAAGCCCGCGCTGGGGTCGCCGCCGCGTCGACGCGGCTCAGTGGAGGAGCTTCTTAAGATCCGAGGCCACGGGCATGATCGGCCTCTGCTCCCGCCAACATATCGGCTTCGCGTCTCAACCCGTCCATACTCCTTAGCGCCATCAATATTGTAGCGTGAGCCAAACGAACAATGACTGTGATGGCCATGGAATTCTTTGCCGCTGCAAGTGCCCCAGGCGGGGAAGGTAGGCATGTATTCCTTTGCCTTCAATGAGCAGGTTCTCATCGGCAACAAGTTTGCTCTCCAGGGTAAAACTGCCTTCGTAATACAATTCGCAGTCAACGAGACTGTTGCCGTCTCCCCCCCCCCTCGCCCCCCTTCGCGTGCTCCGCCAATTTCTCCTCCTTACGCCCTCCTCGTCCTCTTCTTTTGTCCCAGTCCACACTTGGTTGGGTTTCGTGTTGACATGGGCGCTGTGGTCTCCACCTCCTCCTCTTCCTCCTTTTCCTCCTGCTCTACCCTCCTCATCCTCCTCGAAACTCCCCGAGGGTCTGCTACCTGTGCAACCGTCACCGCTTTCGTGGGCTCATTGGGGGACCAGTGGAGTGGCGTCCAACGCGCATCAGAATTAAATCTTGCCCTCATTGCTGGGCTGCGCACTGCACAACTGTCGCCGTTTTCGTGGGTTCCTGGGAGGTCCAGCGGAGTGGACTCCCCCTTCCTGCGGGTCTGCGAACTGCGCAATCGCCGCTTTCGTGGGCTCCTGGAAGGTCCAGCAGGAGTGGTGCCATACGCACATCAGGGTTATTCAGAAGCAGACCTCGCCC